ATGTTAATATAAAAACAGCTTTAGAAAGGTAAAACTGAGAGAAACGCAAAGCAGACTAGCAAAAACAGTAGTCCCAGCTTCAACATTTCTTTATGTAGTCTATCCCCACGGACAAGGAAGGTTATGCTGGTACTGATCAAGGCAATTGAAATTAAGTTAGAGGAGTTAGAGGTAGAAGAGATTTCAATTTACAGTTTTAAACCAATAAGAAGCACTGAATAAAAAAAATATAGTATTGGTGTTAGTCAGACCAGTAAAATTCTTATAGATGCCACGATTCCATTTCAAATAAAGCCTTGGGAATAGGAGGACTGAATGAAGAACTCAGACGAGAAGGTCAATGTTGGGGCATTCCACAATGCACAAAAGCAGTATTTAGGGGGAAGGGATTACTCACATATGTGAATAATAACCGAAATGAATCATCCAACGTTATATTCTAAGCGATGATTATGATGACGTGATTTACACCCTGCTCCTGACCCCTGGAGGCGGGGGTACTACTGGGAATTCTTGGTGGGGGTATGCTGCCCGGTACTCCAAATCCTGAACTTAAATTTTCAACACCTGTTTTCAGACAAGATCTCTAAAATCCATACCCTTTTTCGGATCTGGCCTAATTTAGCCTGTTTCAGGCTCTCAGATAGTTGGGGAGGCTCCCCAGTTTTCTCCTATTTTATTTTTGTGTTTGCCCTTTCTCAATTCAGTGGACCCAACTATCTTAGAGCCTGGAACAAGTTAGGTCTAATTAGGCAGAAATTATGTCATTATTACCAAGTTGGAGCATCAACAAAAAAATTCTCCAAATGCATTTCAAATTCGCATATTTCAATTTCGTTCTTATTCATTTGGAATTGAAACGATATATACATCCATTCATGTACACTCCCGTAGTTCCCTTAAAAACCATACCCGATTCCAGACCAAAATGGGTAAAGTGTTTTCAGACCAAAAAGGCCCAAAAACCCTACCCTTTGGGCAATACATACCTATATAGCTTATATAAGGGAGTACCCCCCGCGTCCTGACCCCTTTCATGATTGTTAGAGACCGAGACTACAGGTCTAAAAATGAGTGAAGAAAATAGCATTTAGGTCAGGCTCATGATTCAGAGAACCGGGCAGCACACCTCCACCAAGAATTTAGAGGAGTATTAACAACTTTAACTCACATGTCTTGCTATTTAGCGATCTTTTGATCTTATTTTTCCTTGCCTAGAACAATTAGCACCGCTTTTACCCAAGTAGTCCGTAGTCCATATTTATACCCAGTCCGCAGTCCGCGTCTTATACCTAGTTCGTGTTTTATACCCAGTCCATATTTTCCAGTCCGCGTTTTACACCTAGTCCGTACATGTATTTTATACCCAGTCCGGAGTCCGTAGTCCGCAGTCCGCAGTCCATGCTTTATACTGACCGATATTTACTTTCGAAAGACGCGAATATCGAGTTAAAAATAGGCACACATAAATTCACTGATAGAAGTCATCAAAATAAGCGAGACTTTGAAGGCAAAAAGCTCAGCGGGACGGATTTCACTGCGTTTCAACAAAAAGTGTACCAGACTTCTGGCCCACTCGCCGAATTGCATTTACCGTTTTCTTACCTCGGTTTTCGAGTTTGTTTGGCTTGTTATCCCCCAGAATCCTTCAAAATAATTTTCTTGACTTGTATTTGGTTCAAATTCGTCAATACAAGCTTTCATTCTTTGCAAAAGCCGTCACTGTAGGACCGACATTTTTTTAAGTTTTTGAAAAATTGTTGCGTGAAGCTGAAAACAACGATGAGGGCTGGAACTAGGCACATAATTGGCTAAATCTGTTAACTTCCTGTGGGCCAAATTTGGAGGCAATCGGAAGTAACGCACCTTTTTGAGTTTTTCTTTTCGATATAGGTTCTGAGGCTCCTATATTTGCAGGGCGTGTTATTAAAAAAGAAAAATATTGATACTGGTTTCTGGTCTTCCCTACTAGGCTTTTTTAAAGCCAGGGCTGGAGATTTCCCTCATGATCAGCTTCTATAAGCATGACCACGGGCAAAATGTAACCAAAACAGGGGCGGATCTAGGGGGAGGGTGCAGGGGGTGCGCACCCCCCCCCCCGAGATTACCTGCAGTTTTCTAATACAACTGGTATTCTGCAAAAAAAAAAAAATTAGTTTATTGGTGTTGAAGTCAAGAGCAAGAGACGAGTGCACCCCCTCCTAAAAGAAATCCTGGATCCGCCCCTGCAAAAGAAATTTCTGGCGGTTGAATTCCCCACAAACTGTAATAACAGATCGTTTTCACTGTCACGCAACAAAAAAAATAAATTGGAAATCATCCAGTGGAAGAAGCTAAGAAAATGAAATGTTATAATTAAAAGACTAATATGTAAACAATTTGTCCAAGTCTCAAGTCTTTGTGGGCCACAGTTTCCGAGTTATTTGCCGAAAGGTTTCATGCACCTTTGTAGAGCTTTGTGTGGACTGGAGACGCCATTTTGGTGGGGTTTTGCTAAAAC